CACTTTACACTTGCTTCAGTTTTACATATACAAGAACAAATCTTGACAGACAAAGCTAGTGAATTTAACAATAACTTAATAATTTATGTTGGTGTTGGGTAGTTATTTAATGGGCGGCTGTTTGTTTAGTTGGCCAGATTTAAAGCAGTGGAGTGTGCTCGGTTTGCCGACAGTTGACATTGTCTTTATAATGCTGGAATCATTTAAGTAAGTGTAGCAGTCATAACAATGGGTTTCTTTGTAAAAACACCTAAAAATTTGTATTCCTCCTATTTATCTAATAGGATAGCTTTCTGTTTGGTGGATACTAAACAAATCCCTAAGGAGACATACTGTAGATTTGCTGATTATGCTCATACATTTAAATTGTAATTACCATGTTTTTTCTTTATATACGTTTTAAAAGCTCCTTTAAATGAAACTTGAGGTGAAATGTAATCTAACATGTAACATGTTAAAACCAAAAGGTCTTTCTGTAGGAATTTTCCCCTTGTCTTTCTGACTCAGTAATTCCAGTTCATCAGACCAGAAGTGTTTTACTGAATGTTGTGATACGGCACTATCCATAGTCAAATTTCAGACCTTTCAGGCTTTGAGCATAATATTTAATGACACTGGTAGTGTTTACAGTATTCTATTAAAAATATGCAAACACTGCCATTGTACAGCAAAAACTTCTGCGTAAAGAACATCAACTTCAGCATGCAACAAAGTTGCGGCATCTGCAGGCAATGGGTTCCCCTTCTCCCTGCATATTCTAAAGGTTTCAGACTTTTCCAGTTGATATGCAGTTCAAAAGAAGTCTCAAGAAAATGGAACTTTGAGACAAAATCCTTCTCAAAACCATGGCTATCTTGTATATCTTCCTCTGCCTACATTACAGGTTTTTCTTTCATCCTTGTATTCAGATTTTGAGTGTAGATCAATTTATACAGTGCTGCTCTTACCCGATCAAGTAGTGGAGAGGAAGGAAAGAACAAAAAATGGGATGCATTTCTTTTTAGATACAGTATTACTCATTTCTCAACCACATTGTATTGGTAGACTGTTTTGTCTTATCTGTTGAAGTCTGAGGTGCATGTTGGTACCAGAAAAGTTAAATTTCTGGAGAAATTTTTCATTGACTTAGGGCTTGCCACTGTGCTTTAAAAATACAGGAAAGTATAAAATATTTTAGTTAATTGAAATGCATTAACAAATGTATTGTTCAGTAGCTAAAAATGAAACTCATCAAAGCAACTTAAATTACATTTCTAGAAAGATAATTGATTGAAAATGTATGCACAACATTCAGTTTATGACAGATTAACATAGTTTGTGACATGAGGATAAGAGTTCTTGGTGAACTTAGCACCAAATATTTTAGCAATGTGCATTCCTGAAGTTACATTGATGTTGTTGTTTAAGGCCTTGATGCCACCACCATGTGTGTGACTGCAGTGGGTGATACTATGGCTGTAGCTGAGCAAAACATACGTATAAATCACCCCCAATCAGAGCCTAAACATAGCATCTTTGGTACGTTTAGAAGTAGCTTACACCTGTGGAGGGACTCATAGCAGCATGACTTGCTTAGCACTCTTTTATATACGGTCCTTCTTGCATAATGTCAAGTTCAAAATTAGTAATGAGTGATTGTGAACTATTTATTGTTCCATCTAAGAGCAGAGTAGCGTATTTTCTTCATAAGTGGGTTTAGAAGCAAATTTTTCTGCTTTTAGTATAGCTTCTGCCTTGCCAGTTTTGCTCTGCATTCTTAGTTATGGCTTTTAAGCTGAATAACTTAAAACATCTTCCTTAGAAGAGGTTTAGTATGCAGAAAATTGCAATGCAATTTTCAACAGCTGAAGAATAATAGATTTTGTTTAAAAATAGATTCTCCAAGTGTGTTCACTAGGATGGCTCTGTGTGTGTGTGTGTGTATGTGTAAACTCTGTCATGGGAGAAAGGGAAGACTGTGTATTCCATCATGATGGTCATCCCTTTGTGATTTGAGACTATTTCTGTTTCAGACAAAAGTTCCCATAAGATTCCCTGCTTGGACTCCTGAAGGAGCTGGAAAAACAATTTCCGTCCAGAAGTAATAATAGCATGGGCTCTTGGTTTTGATCATAAACTGACATTTAAAAGTCATCTGAGGAAAGATATTTCTTTATTAAAGTCAGGTTTTGCTTAATGCAGTTGTAGCTGATCTTTCCCATCTGGTGTTGCGCTACTTGATGTGCTATCTTTCAGTTGCCCAGTGTCCACTTTACAAAATCCCATAGGAGTTACAGACTCCCCCAGGAGACCTTTCAGTGCATTGGGTCATTCTGTTACCCTGCTCATTCCTCAGCTTTTCTTTTCCCTGGGGAAAACATAGAAAAGTTGCATGGCAGAGAATATGAGGTGATAATCTTGTACCCACAAAGTATCTGGAATTGTAGTTCTGTCAGGACTATTGCAGCTTGTGCATACTGTGTGCCTGGTTTTTTGTTTACGTGCCAGACCCCACATTTTACCTGTGGGATACAGACATTACATTTGATATGTGGAACCTGAAAGGTAGATTGTGTGACTGCATTTCCTGGGTTTTACTCCCTAAATTGTTAGTGTTTAGCATTGCTTGCTTAATCCTGGGTGCGGTAGTTTTACTTCCTGCTTCTGCTGCACCATCGCTCCAAGAAGTCCCCCTTCGGTGAGATGGGCAGACACCTCCTACCTGGCTCTGGGCGAGGTACTGCTTCATGCTACTGTCATGACTTCAATTTTAGCATGTAATATGCCTGAAGAGAGATGTAGGTATTTGCGTTTTGGCTTTTTATGTGTTTTGTGGATTGCTAAGATGTGATCTTTCTTGCTAAGAAGCTGGATTTTATCCCAAATCCTGTGAATTTCACACAAGATCAGATTCTCACAGCATTCAGATGGATTGCCAAACCCCTGGCATTTAGGGCCCAGAATAACTGCTTCCTGTGTGCAGAACTCACCAATGCACTCCCTCCCAGGTACAAGGAAGCTTTTAGACAACTGAAAATTACACGCTTTGAGATTTCCTTGAGATACCTCTGGTTTCTGTACAACATAAAATACCACCCACTAAAATACCATGGGGGTAAACGCATTGTGATTATGGCAGCTACACAGGAACTCCCAAACAAGTCATGGGTGCATTTTACAGCGGTTTGAAAATTGGAACTCTTATCTAGTTCCTCTGATCTCTTTTCTCTTGTGATTCCCAAAGGCCTCAGGATGGGTGGATGAAGATAAAACATGACTCAGTGTTTAGCTATGGTATACTTGGGATCTCTTGTAAACGAGGAACTCAACTCTTGAGTTCATCAGATACAAGTTAATCCTAAATTTCTAGGATTTGCAACCTGGAGCAAGAGATGGCTAGATTTTCCAAGTCCTGTGATATCAGACCAATGAAGGCACATAATGAATATCAAAGATATGGGTTATTGAGAAGGAAAGCCAAAAAAACTTGGTTTATGTTGTCATCAGACAAGCATAATTCCACAGGGAGTAAAGCTGAAAAAAGATCACTGTTCTGCTAGGCGAGTGACCTTAGAGCAGCCACGTTTTCATGGTGTAACTCCTGTGCACTTTGTGGCCCCTTATGTATCTTTGTTCCCAGGATATATCGTGGCCTTTATCCCCATGGTAAATACAGTACTAGATACTTTGTAGAAATTAAAACTGGCAAATTCCATGTGTTTTATGTCACTTGGCGTTCTGCACAAACCCCCTTCAGTTTGTCATAAATTCCTAAACCAGAGCAAGGTCACATCTGGTAGCAATTTCAGTCTGCCAGATGAGGCGTAATCCTATAAAACCGAACTCATATTCTCCAGTGCTTTTCAAAGACGAGCTCTCCTGCTCCTTTTCTGTAAGACATACCACTTGCCCTGTGAGCGCGGTAGAATGATTTAGGCTGACAGATTTTTCACACTTTATAAACTGCAAGTCTTGGAACACAGCTTTGTATCCAGTACATAAGACAGTACAAGCAAGTAACAGTGTTGAAGTCTTCACGATAACAGGCTGTGTCTAAGTTCTGTTTTCTTTTGCAATAGCATGTCCCTGCAGGATGCTGTAATTTGTGTTCTTTCTCACTATTTTGATGTATATGCATCTCCTCCCACTGAGTAACCTGTCACCTTACATACTGCATACCGTATTTAATGAATTTTAAATTTAAATTTAAAGAATCCATACATAGCTACTATTCTGCATTTCTTTTATGTGCTTTTAAAGTAGTTACAGCAAAAGTTATGTGTCTTAGGTAACTCAAGATACACACATTGAAGACTAAAATATTAGATGCACTAACAAAGTAATGGAATGATGATCAATCTTTGCACACTGTAGTAACTGAGAATAGCTCTAATTCCCAGTAACATGGAATTTTAATAGTAGTCAGTAGTTTTATGTTTTATCATTTTCCATTGTGCCATTATATTTTGTTAATAGTGGTTATTTTGGTATCTCATTGCCTTTATTATTTTATGTCTTCAAAGTACTGTATGGAACTCGGTGATCCAGTTTCTCAAAAGGAGTAACAAACCAGAGCATACTAGTAAGAGGTTTGGTGGGGTTTCTTTGTGAAACTGAGATGTATTATAAGGTGTTATTAAATCAAGTTAACAGAACTTAGTTAAAAAAATATTCTTTCAAGGTTTCCTATGTCTTGCATAAGGACTTCTAAGGCCTGTTTGTACAGGTGCACAATACTGTTTTGTTTGTGTTCTTTTTTTCTCCGAGGTAACCAAATTTAAGTATCTCTTGATACCACATGAATGATACTAAAACCACCAAACCATCAAAACTTTAAAAGCATGTCAGAATTTTAAACAATTAGTATCGTTACTCTTAACTATTAAACTATTAAAAATGCAAGCTAAAAGTGGCAGCATATTAAAATCCACTGCAATTGGAAAGCACTAGCTAGAAACCACCTTGTCTACTCTGATTTTTCTGACCTAATTTATACCCTTTTATAACCTGTTTATTCACAGGGCAAATATCCTGACATTGTAACCCTTCCGGAAGGACTGCTGGGGGATTATATAGTTCTAAGGAACCCTAAACATTCTGGGTAAGCCAATAAATGCATTTCTTGATTTATGCAGATATAAAGGATTGTGAAATGTGTATTGACAATCTATATACATAATCAATCTGCTTGAACATTAAGTCACTCTTTGCTTTATAATGCCTCTAAACACAGGGATTAGACAATGTGTGTTACATTTTAGGGCTATAGCCCCACATTAAAAACACAGAGAAAAAATTACCACCACCACCACCCACCAAATATATATACACAGGTCATGTGCATGTGGCCTTGTTAGATAAGTCAATCAATTGTATTGCTACTGTGTGTACCCACTCTTTTAAAAAGCTAAGTGGAAAAAAATAAAGGGCTCTCGCAGGCTTTTAATTTGCATTTTAAGAAAAAAAATATTACTGTCTTGGTTTTGGAAGCTTATGCCACAATGAAGAGTCTAAATTCAAAGTTTAGGAATATGGGATGCATCCTCCTCCTCACGCATCAGAAAACATCAGGTTTGGCTGGATTTGTTCTATCTTGTTTTTCTTTCTGCATTACATGACCAGAGCAATGGGCAGAAGAGATGCTGAGGCCAACATCCCTCCTATTGTGACAGGGTGGGCCACTGGCAACCATCCTCTGTGAGATAAGGCAGGATTTTCCCCCCCCGGGCCTGAATGAAGGAGCTTATCCGTTCTTGCAGGCAAAGGCCAGGGTGGCAGCCTGTCAATTACAGCTCATACTTTCTTCTGTGGTCAGAGGTACAATGAGCACACAGCACAGTTCTTTGGTCATCTTTCCATTGAAGAATGGAGAGAAAATCACAGTTAGCACGTTACTGAAAGCAACTGCAGCTATATTTTCCCATTGTTTTAGAAGGACATCAGTTAGATGGAGGGGATCATTTCACTGCCATTTATGATTATTACTCTACCACACATGCTGGATTTGTTTGGGCTCCCTGCTAGCATGTTCTGGCAGGTTTGGGTTTTTAAATTGAGTAAAAGAAAAAAAATCCTTGAAGTTTCATGTAAGACAATATAATTGTCACTGTCAAGAATTCTGTAAGGGCCAAGAAAAGTAACTATTTTGTGAAGGGACCAGACCATTCCCTTCTCCTATTACATCTTTGCTATAATATGCATTAATTTATATGGAAAAAACTGGAAATAAAGTATAGCTCCCTCTGTCACATTTGTTTGTGGAACCAGCAAATAAACCATAATAGATAGTGCTGTCTCAGCACTGTAGTGCCCAAGCTGCTCTTTAAAACTGAATGCTTTAACTCTGAGATACATTCATTCAAAATGAATTGTTGTTGGACCATCACAGTTAGTTACAAAATAAGCTGTTTTATTTTACAGTTTCTCTTCATGTTGACAGGTGTCAAATTCCATTACACACTCCCTCTCACCCACAATCACAAAATACAAGAATTTAAAAATCATTTCAGTGGGTTGGTAGAAAATACACTTGCATATTAATTTGTTTGCAAAATCCCAGAACAAGCTGTGCAGAAATTCTCAAAGGATTTTTAACAATGAAGTGGCAAAAGGCTGACAAATTGTATTTAAAGGAAACTTTTACAGTCATGATTGGTCAATAGCACTGAGAAATTACTTGTTATTGTGCAGATCAGCTTTGGATTAGGAAAGCCTTCCTTGCCATCAGGAATACTCCTAAAAGCAGGGACTGGAGGGGAATACAAAATGCAGCAAAAGCAGATGGGATGTTACAAAGCAGCAGAACTACTATGACTGTAGTTCTAGAGTAATTCCTGTGTGTACTTGACTAGACAAACTCTTCCCCTGCAGAAGCCAACTGCCTAATTGTTCATTTAGTGTGGTGTAGTGATCTTGTCCCACTGCAAAAGCTGAAAATTATTATTAGCCTTGCAAAACCATCAAAAATACTCTTGAATGAGTAGTGATGGTTATTTTTTTTTTTTTAAATTAAAAGCAACCAAATGCAGGAATCTAGGCCTTGGATATATTTATCCCGGTGTGTTATTCTAAAAATGCCATGTCTAACAATGTCAGGGTGGGCTTTATTCCAAACCTATTGGAACACCACTATTCTCATCTGTGTATCTAAGCACAATACCTGGCCACAGATATTATGCAAGGGGTGGGGCAGGGAGATGCACTCTCTCATTTTTCTTTCCTCTCTTACTTTTTACCACTGCACTAGGGACACTTACTGTTCATGAGAGACATAGATAAGAACCAGGGGAAAAAGCCCTTGAGGTTGAAAATTTGAATGTACCTGGAACCTTTCCTTGGCAATAGATTACTGGTTTTCCTTGGTTCAAAGAGAAGTAGTTCTGGTTCCCAAACACAGAGCTGGGCAAGTTGCATTACCTGAGGTGAATTTTGTTAAAGAGCATAATGAGCACGAACCTCCCAATACTGTACTTTCTGCTTTGAAGAAACCTTTAAAGATCTTTAAGACAGTTGCCTAGTTAACACCTAACTAACTTTTCTGTGCACATGATACAGGTTTGAATTAATGATTGTCTGGAAGATACATATAGATGAAGAAGGGAGAACTACGCCTGTTCTGGACCTTCTGACTAAAGTACCAGAGCAAGGTAACGTCATTCACTCCAGAGACCGTTTCTGAGTTTTTGAGTAGAACACCTGTCCCCTTCTTTGCCCAACATACATCTCTCTCTTTAGACAAAAAGGAAATACATCTTTGCAGAGCCCAACCAGGCAAACAAAGCCCAGTTTAGCAAGCAGCTAAGCTTTACCTCTTGTATAATTTAAAAGGGCTTACAAAAACAAGTATGTCTTCATCTTCCAGACAGCAGGTAACCTGTTTTATCCAAAAATACAATGCTGACAGCTACTTTCAGTTAATAGTGCAAATGTTTGAAAATAATGTTCATTGTTACATTTTTCTTGCAGTCTTGGAGCAGAAGATGGCAACTATTGAAAATGCACCCACCTGCTTCCGAAGCATGCTGCTTCTGTTTGGGATTGAGACAGCTCTCGAGAATCTGATCAAAGTGGTTGGCTTGGAAAAATGAATAGCAGCATGACTTACAACAGGTAGCAATTTCAAAAGTAGTTTTAATTAAGATATTGTGTTACACAGTCTATAATTTTATTGAATATAAACATTAAGTTATTTTCCATTTAGAAACCATACTCATAAAACATGCTATCTGTACAATTATGGCACGTTATATATAAATTGTCATGACATGAAAATAAATACAGCCATTTAAATACAAAAATGCCAAATAAAATAGTTACATGTACAGAGTGATTCCATCATAAATTTATCTTTCTGAATCATTAATGTACCAGAGTGGTTTATCTTCTTAACATTTTCTAGATACCTGGAAAGTGTTAAAAGATCATGCACTGTCAAAATCAAGTCCATAAAAATCCATTTCATTTCACAGCTCTTTAAAAGTACAGTGATTTTAAAATGACAAGAGAACAGTAAGAGACTCCTAGAACAGAGAGTTAAATAGCTTTCTCATTAAATTAGGGTGGAAGTAGACAATTTGAAGATTTCAAAGACATACTATGCTTTAAAAAAAAGGAGGGAGGGGTAACTGTATTAAGTAACTTTTTTCCACGATGTAAGTAAGTGTTGAGACAGCATTAAACTAAACAAGAAAGGACCATTACACTTCTGTAAAGAGAGATGGATGAGTTAACTACTGCTCACTGCAGTGCTTTGTTTTGATTTCCTAATTCTAGGAGGAAATTCTAGTAGGTAACACGTTACAAAAGCATCACATTTCATGTATTCATCCCTGAAGAAACAAAACAGATTAGACAGATGCCTTGTAATCTTCCTTCCCTTCCATCAGATGTACCATTAACTTACTTGTGAGCTCTCAGCATTTTTCCAGAGAGCTCCTGCTCTGCACTAGTTAGCAGAACCAAACCACCTTATCCAAACCAAACTGATGTGATTGTAAGCCATGTCCTTCTCAGGTAGAGAGCAACAGTTGTTGGTCCTGGAACAAAGGGGCCAAAACCACCAACTAACTGTGGCCCCTCGAGTAATATTAGGAGACTTCTTTTTCAAGTCCACAGCTGCTCTAACCATATAAGCAGTACAGCTGCCCGCTCCATTTCTAAGTTATGACAGAAATATTTTATAGCAATGGTGAAATAGGTGGAGAAATCAAGAACTAAGGCAACCATAAGTTTATAATACCATAATTTTAAGAATCCACTATTTGATCACTGAAATAGTCTCCTACGGTTCTGGTAGGTCAGGAAAAACTGACAGGCTGGATTGGTTTTGGTCATAATCTACAGCTGAGCAATGCCAGAGATTAAGTTTTGATGAACAGCAACTCTATAATAAATACCTTGTTAGATGTAAGGCAGACTGATTTCAAGTTTGGAATCCAGTAGACAAGCTATTTTATCCACTGACATGTTACTGGTTTAGCTAGTTTTGTGTAACCTTTCGTTTAGTTCATCTTTATCTCCTTCTTGCATGAAAATGAAACTGTTCAATCAGCACATACATTTCTATTTACACACATACGAAATGTGTGTAAAGTTACAGCCTAAAACCCTGCAACTTTCCAGCCATGGATAGTCCTTCCTTCCTCCCCTTGTCTAACAGCTGGAGGATTTCTGGATTTAACAATAGCTCTCTTTCCCCCCAGATTTTCTTTGGAAAGAAGGGGTTATTACCACTGCCCACTACCAGCTGATGGCACTGCTGAAGTATCACATTTCAGTGAGAGCAGCCCACACCCCTATCCCAGAAAGGCACACTGTCACCTGGAAGTGGAATACAAGAGCCTGCTAACATGGGTCACAGCTCACAGCAGAGCTCTGTTGCTGTGCGAGTGGTGTTACTCTCCATTTCCTATTTCTTCCTTGAGTTGTGCCAATATACAGGGGTTTCTGCTTTTGCTTTTTGAATTTCAGGTAAAATGGAACAATTCAAACATTACACCAAGATCCCAATATAAATATATTTTTTAAAATGTTAACCTACACTATTCTGAAAAACATTACCAGTAAACACACACTGTATCCAGGTAACAGCAGTTCACTGTAGCTTGACTAGCATCTCTCTGCGCATTTCAGGGTGTGTAATCCCCCAAGTGTATGGGAAAAGCGGCTGTAGATTTTATCATACTACCCTCAGTTTTGAATATATCCTCAGTCTCCAACTCAGGATTTTCCTTGAGGATGGCTTTTACTGCAACATCTCACAAGACTTCACCTGCCCATACCAATGTTTACAAAGTAAAACCATCATTAAATTGCTCAAGAGCGACACAAGCTTAGCTCCAGTACTCATCATGAGAAAGTGAGCCCCTGCAGCTTCAGCACAGAAAATCAGATACTGTCACCTTTCTTCTGTGTCACTTAAAAAGAACGAGCCTGAAAGCAGCTGCTCACGCGTGTGCGGTATCAGTGAAATAATGCCAACATTTGACACAATCCAAAAGACCTGAAATAATCTGTAAAACTCAGAATATATTATTCTTATAGCTCGGTTTAAGTTAGGTAAGAGTGAGCTGTGGTTTCACCTTCAATAGCAGCATATAATGTATAGAAAATAAAAGACCAGTATGTCAGATGAGTTAAGCCCAGCTATCACATAAAACTCAAAGACGCTTACCTTTAACTCTCTTCACTTAGTTTCAGAAGCTTTAGGTAGATACAAGGTGATCACAAACCTTCTGGAGGCAGTGTGGTGTTCTTAATCTCATGCATTAGTACTGAAAAGTGTTCTGCAGTAACATGGTAGTTCCATAGATCAGTAACACTTGAGTAGCCACTTCAGTTGTATTTTCAGTGGACTTACTTACTTAATGCTAAAGTTTTAGATTGGGTTTTGTCAGAGCATTCCCTCTTCCTAGTAGGCATGAGTGAGACTCAAAGCACTAGCTCCAAGGCATTTCTCTTGTTAGTAATTAGGTTTTCTATGTTAGTGCAATACTTCAGGAAACCTTTAGTTCTGTGCTCTTTCCATTCTAAGGAAGTAGACTTTTAGTATTAATTTGATCTGTCCTCTAGTTCCAAGGTATGGCACATTATCTGTTCTGTCCTATTAAATACATTCATTAAGGTTATATAGCAAATGCGTGGTTTAGTGCTATTCCATGTCTTTGAAAAGGCATACCAATTAGAAATCATTTCTTAAAGCAAAAACATTCACAGCTGAAAAATGCACTGAACACAATAGAAAAGAAAAAAAATCACCATAATTGTATTCCATTAATCTTTCACTTTCTAATGTGTTTGAATAAAAATAACCTTAGGGAAACAGTTACACTTTATGGAGAACTAATGTGCAGTCTTCATTCTCCTTGAAGATATTGGACATAACTGGGTCATCTTTGGCCTGTACATTCTTCAAATAATAGTTTACTATCTTGCCATCAAGTTTGTACTGGTGAGGAATGCTTTCATATGGTTTTAAATCAAGGTCCAGGACAGAAACAGAAAAGGTGAATCTTGATTTGGATGTTAGTACCACAGGTCTTTGCTCAGAGCTGGAAAAGAAAACCATATTGCACATCTGAGTCACTGAAACTAACATTTTTCATTTGCGTATCCCGAGTCCCCTTGCAAAAGTGACTCTAATGTTTATCTTGGAATTTTCATGGGAGCCTAAGAAAATAAACTTCAGCTAACGTAGCTCTTAGGAAACTATAGCTTCACTAGTCTTAAAGTGAACTTGCTGGCACATCTTCCTGTTGTTTCCCTTTCAGCTTCCACATGGCTTAAGTCAAAATATTACTCTCAATTACTGTCTCTTTGTGTTTAGTAAGTCTAGTCTGTTTCTAGGTGGTATGCACACAAAGCCACAGCCTTATTTAGCTACCAGAAGCAGAAAGAATCACTGCGACTCCTACTTAAGTTCAAGGTAATACAAATTTAGTCAGAACTAGTGTCCAAGCATACTGAAGGATGGAGGGCTTAATATTAAGTCAGCCATTGCACAAGTCATCTCCATCATCAACATTTTATTCAGAACTGCAGGGCAAACACAGGAAACAACATTCTCTAAAATAACAAGGCTTTGGTAAAGCAAACCCCCCTACATAAGAGCAGACTATTATTGCTGACACAAGTCAAAATAGGTAATATTGTGGCAAAGCCTCCTGCCCTACAGTGAAAGATGTCACCTCTTGATTATTGCCTTGGTTTTATTCTAATTAGGCAGTTAAAGGCAACTCATCTTGAAAAATCTCTCATATGAGGACACCAAGGCAGAGTAATTGTACCTAGTTAAAACCACGTACATCTACTATGAACAGTCATCAATTCAAATTTCAAGAAGGGCGTAAATATAAAAATCTTCACCCTTTTTACCAACTTAAAGCTCTTCAGAAACAGACATTTGTCCTAAACGTCGTAAGTGAGAACTCTAACTTACTAATATGCTCACAGCCAAGTATTCGGACACACCCCCCCCCCCCTCTCCAAAAAGCCCGCCACATTTTTTTAAAGTTACTTGAATTGACTGAACCATGGAAACACATCTTCAATTTCTAACCAAGGAGTCATTCAAAAGCAGGTCTCTCTTACCATTCATCTTGTAGACAGGGTGAAAGGGCAATCATGATGGAGCAATCTTTAGCAGTCATTGCTATTCTGTACTGCTGCACCTATACAACATAAAAATAACATAAATTTTCTCTTGTATTTGTGTTTGCCTTTTATAAAGAACAGTATTCTTTAGTAAAGGCATTAGTATAGTCAGTATATTAGTACTTTAAGAGCTGGAAATTATCTCTATAACAGTTAGTTAGTTAGCAGGACCAAGTGGTTTTACAGCATCCTGTGTAAGAATCATGTTTATTTCCTACAGCTACTTTTCTTGAAGGCCAAAACAGCACCAGTTCATGCAAATAATAAATGCTTCCTCAGTCTAGAAAGAAATAACCAGCTTTATTCTTCTCTCAAGAACTGGTGCTAAACTTGTTTGGTTTTAACTGCTTCTGCCATAAAGGTACACTCTATCACAATTAAGAACTTTAACCATACCAACCTCTCAGCCAGCGGTGATGCTAACACACTATCCAGTGAGACAGGTGTTTATTAAAATTGACAGACTAAATAAGCTCCAGCAACATGCACAGGAAAAGTACCTTTGTTAACGCAAATGCTACTGTCCCATCATCTTCAGTTGAAAGATCTAGCAGCTTCTCATAAAATGCTTCATTGTAAGGTCCATCTATCTGTAACGTACTTCTAAATAAATTTTAAAAGAAGATTTACTGACAGCCAAGATGATTTACTGTTTTTCAGTGAGATCCTTCTTCAGCAGCCCAGATACTCAGATTAGAAGAAACCAACAATAACACCGATAAACACGGCAACAGGTTAATACTTAGAGATCTATCTAACACCACAACCAGTCCCCATTATTCTCGTATCACTCAAGATTTGCTACTGCTTAGGATTTGGGTTGGGTTTTTTAAAAGACAAATCATTCTTAATCCACTACCACCTGCATATCACCACAAGAACAGTATTTTTTTGAAAAATGGGTAAGTTTCAAAATTTTTGACAGCTTGCAGGAGCTCCCAGAAGCCTGGCTGAAAACATTGGGGGTACACACTTATCTGACAAGGCCCTGCTCTGCCCCCAGCTTCATGATGTGTGCCAGCAAAGGGAGGGATTATTTGGCCACCTTCCTTCCCATGTTAAATACCTGAAAAGCTGAATGCGTAAAAGTGGGGTTTACAGCATGCAAACACCCCACAGATGAAAGAATACACTTTCTAATTATTTGTTGAATATATAAATATACAAGTAAGCCACACTGCAAGATTTAAGCAGAACTTAAGGCCAAACCGTTGCCCATAAAATAACCCTTCAACTCCAAGAGGAGTCCAAAGAGCTGAAGGAGCACAGGCAGCAACGTCTTGCAAGTGAAGCCAGAGTGCCCTCGTGTGAGCAACGGCAGAATTACAGGGGCAAGTTACAGCCCGACAATGCAGCAGCAGCATCCAAATCAAGGCTTTTTATAGCAATTTATTGTTACAACTAAGAAGCTTTAGTTGAGAACAAATGTAACTGCTTGCAATGCCCAGTATTTCTTCATGGGCAAGAAACACCATAAGCTGAAGATTCTTGTGCCTCAAGTATGATTTGATCACTTGTGATGTGGGTTACAACCCAGCCTTTGGAGCCATTATCACGCAACGAGGGCAGGCTGGGCAATAGCAGATTCACACCTTCTGTAAGATCTTGCAGGCACAGGCTGGATTGCTGCTGAATATCAAATTTGGGGTTTTAAAGGGCAGGTTTAGGTAGGCCAATACAGACTTGAGTTACTGCAGCCATAGCCCTAGGTCTGCAGGTACTGAACGCAGGAGAAACCAACCATCTGTTTTACTGTACCTTTCCTCAAATATACAACCTCCACTACTAAGGAACAAGGCATTTTTCTCTCTTATCCTGTTGTGAACTCCTCATAATCATTACTTAAAAATTCAGGTCAAAGTGGCAACAAAACTTTTAACAATAAAACTCATCTTTTATGTTATCTGGCATTTCAAATTAGAAATTCAGAATATGCAGTATCATAACGGAAGGGTGTACACAATACAACAAGGGAGAACAAATGGTTGTGTCTGCATAGAGCCAGTCTTGTCCGTGTACCTACTTAATGAGAACTGGAAAGAAAAGCCATCAAGTCTTACCTCTCTTCAGGAAACTCCTCTAAGTACTGCTCAACTCTACTGTACAAAGGATAGAGTCCTTCAATATCCAGCGTGTCAAGCATCTGAGCCTGAAGGGTTTTATAAAGGAGACAACCCCTCGGTAAACCAGAGCTTTCCAATTTATGTTTACCTAGAAGAAAATGTATTTTCAAATAAGGCAGACACCAGTGTCATCCAGAACACTTAAGTTCCAAACACTGATGTGCCAGGTGCATGTACTAACCTGCACATTTAAACAGCACATATTTGACTGCAGAATAAAACACCTGGTATACCACTCTACAAATTACTCAAAAAAAAAAAAAAAAAAAAAAAAAAACCACCAACCAAAAAACAACACACCAAAACCCACACACTTCCATTGCAATCTACTTCTCTAAGTCTAGAAGAGAAATTTTTTGTATGAGTTTGAAGTCACCACAAATTCACTTTCAACAGTATGAACTGTTCCCAGAAAGTCATTTAGCATTTCAGATATCACATCTTTTTAATATAGTATAAACAGATTTGTATTTGCTATCATTTCTGTAAGAAAGATAGCTCTTCTGCCAACACAATACAACAAAACCAACCAGCAATGAAAAAGCTCTTCCTCAAAAAGTTGTTTGTGTAATTAGGATACCTAGCAGCATCTTGAATAATCAGAGCTTTACAAAACTTAGGCACTGAAGAATTAATGTTATTTAGTTTTCCAACTCTCACTTCCCATTCCTTTTCCCTCCAGTATTTGTACCTTTCTCTCTACCAGGAGTAGAGTGGTAGAAGAAAAGAAAATGAGCTACACCCTGGCTGGCAAGGGCTGACAGGAGGAGCAGGGCAAGGCAAGAAACAGGTGTCATGTAACAAACCAACCAAAGCAGCCAGACTTCATCACACACAACATAACCATTGTAGGTATTTCAAACAAGTGGGGAATTTATATCAGCTCAACCTGGTATTTTCTTCCTTTTTTTTTTTTTCTTCACCTTCTGAATTGATTTTTACCCCTGTCATTAGGTACAGCACTAAAACTGCTCACTACAAGGTCATATTAAAAACACTTATCTAGCAGTTATGCAGCTCAGAACTCATTTTTTAAATGTCACTAAAACTCCACTGTTTCCATTCCCACATTGGTATTAAACAGCAAACAAGAGGCAAAGATCTGAATCATTACATGATAACAGTTAATTACTGACAGAGCTCAAGAAATTATTTCTTACCATTTCTTACTAGCTCCTTATTGAAAGCACTTGCTTCACAGTAGCTTCTTCCTTGTGAAACAGGAACTGTCTTCATATCACCTGCCCTGCAGGCATCAGTACTACTTAGTAGCGTCATAGTTATAACATGGATTAGTTCTTTAACAATTGTCCTTGTACAGTGTGGCCCACTGACCAACCCATTGGAAGGAAAAAAGAAAGGTTTTAAGTGACAAGCAAGTTCGTTCCAGTCAGACACACAGTCCTGATCATCCTTACAGCCATAAATTAGCTCCCCATTCTGCAAATGAGAAAAAAAAAAAATTAGGCACTTAATGAAATCCAGTTATTTGTACTTAGTTAATCAAAGCATCAGATTTAGTATTTTAAGACAGATAGCACAGAAAAATGTTATTAATTTAACAGCCTGCATACAAATACATGCATTCCCAATCTCTTACAAATTTGCCCTCTTCAGTTTAATCAGATACCACAGGTAACAACCTTTGAATTAGGACCAAAAAGCCCATTTAAATCAAGTGCTACCTTCTCAACTTAATCAATTGTAGGTAATTAGAACAATAAAAGTGAACTGATACTTAGCACATTGTCCTATCACTTCTTTCTGAATAATGTCAATAGTGAAAAAGCAGCATGTGAAACAACCTTCTTTATAGCGAGATTGGAAAAGGGAAAGCCATAAAAAGGGACAGAAAAGGTGTGACAGTTGCCTGTACTAACAGAAAAAATAAGACGGTTCATACAAGTTTAAGTTATTCAAATACTTGGTTTAATATTGGAAATAAATTGTAAAGAATCTTATTTCCTAGAATTAATCTGAAAATCTGCATAAGCCATCAGTTACTACTTTGTATTTTTCCTACATAAAAAGTTGCCTTTTCTATGGCATTAATTTCCTCAGTGAGGCATGCTGTGCATTTGGCCTTCATGAATGCTGTAACAGTACTTGAAAAAAATACCTGCAGCAACATACAAAGTTCTTGATCTTCTTCCTCCTGAATAAGCACATAAAGTTTTAAAACTTTGGTCATCTTTAGAAGTCCTTTTCTATTAGTTGTTCCTTGGCAATTCTTTCAGACTAATTACTTCTGGGAAATTATTACTTACCTGTCCTAACTTGAATCTAACTAAGAATTTTCCTGTTTTCTCCTTTTGGTGGCATCCAATAGTGATGGTGCCAGTTAGGATCTTGACTGTTCAGATGCTGAAGTCAAATTGTTTAAAAGCCAAGACAAAAAAAGCAAGGAGAGAGATTTGATTGTTTACCTTAAATATTTTCAAGTTGTTCTGTGCCTCCTGTAATAAGCTCTTCAGAGCAAAGTGCATTCTCTGTTTATTTCTAGGGGGGGAAAAAAATAAAATAAAATCCAAGAATGTTTTCTCAGAGTCTTTAGAATGTTTACACCCAAGCCTAGAGGGCTCTGTGGAATCTGAACTGGGCACCTGAAGTGAACACACCCATTAAGCATGTTACTCATGCTGAAGTCAGTGCAAAGACAAAATGGCTGTTCACAATTAGAAATTCAAATCTGAGTAATCTAAACAGCTCTTAGGTTTAATGTTATGTAGCAAAAGGCACTGGTACATCAATAAGCAACTCGTGATTTCTGAAATAGGTGTAAGGAGGTATATAGCACCAGAAATCTCACTGTAAAAGTCAGACAAGCAGGCTTTGATCATCCTTAATACTACACCAAAAGTCAAAGTAATCTGAGAAAGAAACCGGTAACACAAATTTTGGGGCAAAAACACAGAATCAAGTTACACACTTACCCTGAGAAGAGATCCAATGGGCAATATTTACTTGGTCGCTTCCATTTTCCGTTTGCTACCTGTTGAAAATCCACACCACTGCTGTTAATCACTCTTTCTGGAATAACTACTCTCAGTTACTTTAACAGTCAGGTGTGTGGCACTAACATCCTGTCTTCAGAGGTCCGATGACATTTAAAACCCTTTGAATGTAAAATTCATGACTACTATGGGTCCTCCTACTCATGTTTAGCTCGTCATTCAAATTGCATTCACAAGTGGAAAGCACGGAGAAAGGTAACGTTCAATTACAGTAAGGCACAGTTACACGATTTCAGATTCGTAACGGACATTAGTCAAATTAATTCGGTGTGTGTGTTCCATGCTGTTATAAGTTACAGAATGCCACCGTGCATTTGGTGAGCTGTACTTGAAAGAAAATTTGACATTAGAGTTTACCCAATTAACAGCATTAATAGTCCTCAAAGACTAATATTGTATGTTTGCTTCCAGCTTCCCACAGAACTTGTTCCATCTCTCACCAGATTCACACAAAACAACTCCAATGTGTATCCACCTAGTCTTTAGTCATATCAGAAATTTAAGCGAGTTTCAACAGGAAAGCAAGACTGGAATAGCAAATAAAGCACAGTACAGTCAAAGGAAAGCAGGATGACCAAAAAAAATTACCTTTAGATGCTGATGCATACAGTAACGGCACACCTTGTGCTTTATCTCCTGTGAAACATGGCTGGAAAAAGGAATGAAGCCACACTTTGGCTAAAACAAACAAACAAACAAGATTATAAATATAAATGTATTTCTTTATAGAAATATAAGGGCACACAATATGCAAATCTTTCCAGTTAAAGGAAAACAAAAAAAAAAAAAAAACAGTCAACATTCAATGCTTAAAACCTGTATATTATTCCCAGTTATTTCAGAGTCCTCACTTAGGAAATAAGGACACACGAAACTGCTGTGGCCTACAAAAAAGCCCAGTAACACCTGGGAATTTCTCAAGTTTTGAAAGATTGGGAATTGGAAGAGGGAGGGGCGTATTTCATCCTATGGGTCACGGTGAAAGCGGTGAGCTCTGCCTTAGCCCACTGCTGCATTCCTTTGAAACTGCTCTGGTCAGTATGTACTTTAAAAATGCAAACAAAACCCCCAGAAGGATCTTCTCCTATTCAATTACCTTAATCTCTATGCAGAGGATTGGCCGGTGTTCCACAAAACGATAGGTCTGCAGCCTGGTAAGATTAGGAAGGCACATTGCATAACCACTAAGAGTGTCCATATCTTTATCACAGCGAGACTCTGGGGAAAACAAAACATGCACCACAAACAAGAAAGTTAGGTGTGTGGATGTTTATTTTACTCTGCAGTTGTCTTGTCCACCAGATGGGGTGGGGGGGTGGGAGCGAACTTAGAAAGACAGGACACAGTTTAGCAGGCTTTAGCCAATTATGCATTTGCATAAATTTGCCCTCCCCATTATCAACACATGTTTCCAGTTTCCTCAAAACTGTCATAGGCACATAGAGTGCCTCAAGAGCTGCTTTTACTGGCCAGCTCCCAGCTCGACCCAAGAGAGGCGTCAGTGAGGCCTGACACAGGAAGGGAGCGCATTCAATTGGCTGACAACAGGTAAAGAGACTTACTACTGCATTCAAAGACGTGATCTCATGTTTGCTTAGTAAAACTGCATGAACTACCACCCCTCAATCTAGTCAAGAAGAATCTGTGAAAACTAGCAGGAATATCATAAATTATTCTGAAGTTTGGGAGAAAGTGTAAATCTAAACAGAACCTGCAAGTGGCTTCGCTCAACTCCTTAGTCTGTATGTAGTCTCCTCCTAGCCATTCCAGTGTTTACATCAAAATAATAAAGAAGTGAAGAGGAACATAGAAGGAACAAAAGTTAGCTTACCCCTCCTCACAGGCTCACAACTTAAAACAAGAATTTCCTCCGCTAAGGCCACCCTTTTAAAAATAGCATTTTTTTTTAATATAATCCTGAGAAGAAGTGAAATAGCAAAATGGCTTCAGACTAAGATTAAGAGGCATTATGTAGATAAAGCCTTTAAATAACCTCCCTCCACACACATCCTTTGGCACAGAGAAAGGTCTGCGAGATTTAATTCAAATTTAACAAAAACATACACACCTAGATTTTCAAATACCTGTGTTACTAAAGAGACATACAGGATACGTATGCTCTGTTATAGTTTCCATTGCTAAGAAAAATGTCCATTCTGAAAAATATATTGCAATAGAAAAAAAAAAAATCTCAGAAAATGGAAGCCTCATTAGACATCAACCTGCAATTCCATGCTGTACTTCACTAGCATGAGCAAGAAGAAACCTCCTTTCTCCAACAAAATGCTGGGGTTTGTTTTCTTTTCCCAAACTTAAGCAAAAGTACATCCACGTTCAGCTGAAAGCCACTTGCCAAATCAGACAGACCCAGAAATCTGAACTTTTAGAGAAGTTCCTTCATAAGTTAGACAGACTTATGTGAAAGGTAATATTAAAGGAAATTCTTTCCTTGAGGTTTAAAAAGAAATTCCTGTTAAAAATAAGCAGTGAGATTTGCTGTTGTAAAGCACTTGGACAGCTCCTCCCAACCATTTCTTCCTCTAAAGAAATCCCCAGGAGCTGTGGACACAAAAAATTTAACTTTAAGAAATAAAAATAAATTCTATCATTCACTTCTACCAGAGTATCATTGATTTTGTAACTTTTATTAGACACTACTTACTTTCCTTGCTGGTTTCTGGCACTGCGGAAAGGTTTCTCAAAAAGGTAAGGACAAGTCAGCAGTAGTGTGTCCTGTGCTCACTATATGTAAATTAATTCCATTTTTTCCTGGATCAAAGGCATCACAGTACTGGCTACAGTACTTAGATTTAATACCACATTTTTCTTCAAGGAACTTTGCTAAAGCAGGTTTTTCTGGCTGTTTTCAAGAACGTTTGAGTACATAAGATGGATGAACATGCCATGAGGAACATCTTCTCTTTGTCCATTTTAGAGCTTACACCTGCTTGTACTTTTAGCCACATATGAAGAACGATGCACCCAAGTGTTGCTAAGATCAACTGACACCAAATTCTGTAGTGCTTCACCTCACACGGAATACACCAGAGACTGCCAAACTTCAAGACTTACAGCATGTTCCAAAAGGTTTCACAACGTCAGTGCGCCCTTACCCCACACACTTGTCCCCTTCAATCCCCACCCCATCCAAGGGGACTAGAAAAATGTACTTGCTCTTCACCTCTGGATGGGGAACCCAGCACACCATGTAAGATTCGGGAGAAATCAAGCACAGCCCCATATCCTGGACGTGCTCATTAAAGGCAGCACAGCCTGTAACACTGCAACCCCTTGCAATGAGAGATGCCCAGCTCTCAGGAAGAGACATGAAAAGCTGGAATGTTAAGTTACACACAGCTTGAGTGCTATGACTCAGAAGATGCTTAGCCCCAAGCGAAATACTAACATTGAAAACAAGACAATTCAGTGTGGAGTTTCTGAAGCTATCTTCCTTCCAAAGCCCTGCTGCACAGTCCAGGAGAAGAAACTGATGGAATCAAAACAATTATTTCGGGACACATCTTCCACCTCCCTCACTGACCTTTGTAAAGGACTTCGCAGCAAGTTGCAAGCTTGTTCAAGAATTAACAAACACAAGCTTAGAGAGGATCTCTTTCCCCAATCTGATCAAACTAATATCAGCTGCAACTTTCAATTCTAGAACACCCCCATTTCTTCACAACAAATTTTCAACTTGTCATTGTCTAAACATAAAAAAAAGCTTCCTCATATTCTGAGGTATGATGCTTTTTTACTTTATAATAAAGAAAAATTATTTACAGCTTGAGGAAGGCCCCCTTTTTAGTGCTATCCCTGGCACTTACCTGGCCTCTCTGGCTGAATTTTTAAACAGAGCTGTCTTACGAAGTCCAAAGGCAGTTGAACAATTTCCTATTAAAAAAAAAAAGAAAACATATTTCAACACAAAAATTAATATCTAGTTTGGGCGTCTTAAAATGGAATACCGAAGTTCAGTGGATATTAACAACAGTATACTGAACTATACAGTCAGCAGCTTCTCCTTCTGATTTACCATCTATATGAAGATCTGTACCTGCAATCACATGCAATACTTACTCCACTATGAAAACCAAAAACCAACTTAAATAAATGCATGAGAAAGAACATTTTCAGTGAAAAGTTTCATGTGCATGAAGAAACCTGCATCATTTTGCCCTTTTCACAAATGAAAAAGTCCCATTTCATTCCATCCCATGTCTCACAACCCACCCTTCCAAGGCAGAATTGTGTAACTCAAGTTCCAGGAGAAGGTGTAACTTTTCCACTCAAATCTCTGATGTCAACTAGATCTGGACACCCTGAAGAACAGAGTGGGTGGCAAGGAAAAAGGTTACCTCTGACTGCACAGAAAGCTGGACAACTCACATGAACCTGGTTTCTCCCCTTGTTTGCAGTTAGTCTAAAAATCTCTCTCTCACTTCTCACCTTATGCAGGGCAAAGAAATGACCATTCTTTTCATTATAGCTCAAACCACAGTACAATCCAATCACCTCATCAGCACAGAGCAGGATCTTTGTTCTGATCCAAATGCTTCATGTGTGGGTACGTGCGCGCCTCTGTGTGTATATATCTATTTATCTTCCTCGGGAATATCTGCAAACCCTATTAATTCCTGTTACTGGCACTCAGTGTTCCCCAAAACATTGCAGTGTTTACAATGCATAAGCCATTTATTTTAAGAATAAAACATTTACCCCATGGTGAACATAGTTCTCCCCAAAGAACTGCTTCATGACATGTTTTCCAAAGTCTACGATGTTTTGCAGATGGTGTAGTATTTCCTCTGGAGTCTGGAAGACAGAAGCATGGTAATTTAACTATGAAATAATGATAAACAACACTCAAGAATACATACACATACTAGTCAATGATTTAGCAAAGTAGCTTAATTGCTCTACTGAGTTTGGTAGGTCAGTGCACCTTGAAATTAAACAGACACATGAAATGTGCTGTATTTGTTTCCTCACTGCTGCCTGAGAGGCCAGGATAACCAGGAAAACTGTCAGAAGAGATGATGATTCTTAAGTTTCAGGGGAAAAAAGACAGAGAAAGTGAGGAAGGTGGAAGTGGGGGAGACTACTCAAGATCTACTCTGTCTTTGACTGTTATTATTAAAACTCAAAAGAGATGCACAGCATGCCTTCTTACCAACAGGTTAAGTGCAAGAGAGGCTTTGAGTGTTGTAAAATACATCACCTGGAGATTTGGAAGACAGTGGCTGCAAAGACTGAGCCACATCACAAACCTCTGCAGGAACAGGTACAGAATTTGCCATCTGTCCCGAATCCTGCCCCAGACAATGACAAATCCTACTATAATGTCATCTTCCATTAATTTTATGAAGAAAACACTAAAGTTCTTCTACAAGACCAAAATGCCAAGCTAGATAAAAATGATGCTAAACAAGTACTGGAAGCAGGACAGTGACATTAGCGCAGTCTGACTCTGACAGACTTCTGCTCATTAAAGAGGTACCAGAGCAGCTTTACAACAATATTATCCCATTCCCAGCACTCCAACACACTCTGGTTCTCTACACAGTATTTTATTGTCACTATAGACAATCTCCAAGCTCCTGTATCCTTTTGTAACCCAAAACTTTTCTGGAAAAACACTACTTTGCATACCACTGTACGCTATAAAGCACTAAACCATACAGATTTACTCTTGGGATTAAGTAACAGTGGAGGAAAAGAAAGTGCAACACTCATGTCCAAGTTGTAAAATCAGAGAGGAAAAAAAACATAAGCACAAGAAAAAAAAAAATAAATGTTACACTGTAGAATAGAGTAAGAGAAAATGAAATGCTAGGAGGACAACACTCAGATAATGACAGAGTCTAGAGAAAAGAGGAAAGACCATATCCAACACAAATGAAATGTGTTGAGATTTGTAAAAGGAGATTGTCACTAACCAGGCAGTCTAGCTAACTTTGTTTTATAATACCATCACAATAGGTAGATTTTTTTTTTTCCAACCCGGAAGGATTTGCTACCTAACAAACTTGCACAAGTTGCAGGACTAAGAAAGATTAGTTTGTTAATGTAAACACAGGTCTGCTAAGACTACATACTGAGTTTAATATTCTTCCTCTAGCAGGATTCATTTTCCAGACTGAAGCAGCAATACATAATACTGCAATATGCAATAATGCTTTAGAGAAGGAAAAGTTACTACAGTAATACACATTACTACACACTTGCTTCAGTAACATACTGTACTACATACTGTTACTTCAGTATGCAAAGCACTAACCAAAAAAAACAATCCTTTGCAGCAAGTAGGAAAAACACATTTTTTTCCAAAGCACTTGCACAGCATTTCCATCATTCTATAAAGGCCAGGACAGCACTTATTATTTAAAATGCTTGGCATATTGTATGTGGAGTTGTTTCTCAGAACAGCTCTCCCTGAATCCTTTTGAGAGCGCCAAAATAAGCTTGGAGTCTCTTCACAACAGGCAATATTCCACAGCTTATGTCTTAGAACAAAACACACACTGATGCCCGAGTAACTTTCTCAATCGCAGTCATCTGGTCTGAAGAAGTGTATTTAAGAAAAAATAATTAATAGGCAACAAGATGTGCGAGCAGGCCACCCACATGGGTATGCAAAAGGATGTTTTACAGCAGTGTTGCTCAATCTGTGCTTCCCAGGAAGGCCCGTGCACCCATCACTAGTGCTGAACACGCCAAGATCCCTCAGAGGGCAGTGCCGGCAGCCTGAGCCCCTTCACTTCTCTCAACCAGCTGGCAGAGGAGACCACCACTGGGGAAACCCCTGCCCCCACCCCTCTACTCTCTCCCGGAGCAGCCGGCAAACACACTGTACCATCTGTTCCAGGCTGGGGAAGCAGTTGCTTTGCAGAGCGGAAACCCACACCCACCCCCCGGCAATTTAAAACCTCAATAGTTCCAGTATCTTTCCTACCTGATGAAGTGGGAAATGGCAATTCTGAGCACATACTATAGCAAAAACTTCAATTTATATACAGATTTCTGCCCTTTTAAGAACAACATAGTCCTTTGTTTAACTCATACAAATTCTGAATGGTCAGAAGGAATGTCACATCATCTCATACAGTAACAGAAATCTCAGCTAATTCCCACTTACAGATTATTCTGACCTGGTTTGCTGACGTACATAGTATCTACAGGCCTGTTGGTTTTTTTTAAACATATATTTATGTATACACACACACACATACTGGGAAATAAGCATTTTGGAAAATCAGGACATTCACTGCTGCTACTACTCCTACTACAAGGAAAGACTCACCAGTTAAAGAGATCAATGCAACTTTAAAATTACAAATTGAGCTTATGACACCTGCTCACCTCCTTTTAAAGAGCAAATATGTTTGATATACACTAAACAAGAAACAAAAAACAACTAACGGGTTACTGAAGCATCACCTTTCAATGTTAAAAACCACTAAGATGAAAAGCTTTTGAAGGACCCATTACTACTGCCAGCTCATTTAGCAAAACACTAAAACTCATCAGGTAAGTTCTGTACAATAAAAAGGAAAAAAAAAATCATTCATGCAGAAGACTTATACACTAAAATTAGCAATATGCAATTAAAATCATTCCACAGGTCCCGACATTTGACTTTCTACTCCAGAAATGCAAGCCCATGAGTTACATTATTATTTTTCATTAAAACACTGAATTGTAACAGTAAGATTACAATTTGCAATAACACCACCTTGTTTAACTACTAGATTATCTAGTCCCAAATTCATAACCAAACAGTATAAATGCAAAACAGCATCCAGACTTATTTACCTTTTCCAAAGGAGTTAAGCAGAAGAGACCGAGACACATTTGTCCACATCTGAATTTCAATATGCATCTTACTAGAAAATATTTTGCTTCAACTGCTTCTTTCAGAGTTGTTTACACTGGATAAGCTACAATGTTGTGCACAGATATATAACACTTGATATCCTAACTCATCTTGCATGAGTCAGAAATACAGATTACACCTAAATAACATTTTCTCCTCTACAGCTGTTATGTTGCTACATCCAAGTTTGTCCCAAAACTCTGATTCTCCAGGACTTTTTTACAGATCTAAAGATAAAATATTTAGTCTTCCATTCTGCTCCAATAAAACCTGATCCTTTAAAAAAATCAAATCTCCAGAATAATTAAATAAATTCAAATTACATCATTGTCTATTTAGAGGGCAAAGCCAAAAGGAATTGTCTATCACTAAAGTCCACACAATCACAATACAAGGCAAATGCAAATTGCTGGAGCTGGCCACAAGCCAGCTCTCCTCAAAATTTAACACTTCTACATATAACAGGGGAGTTTGCTCTGATAGTGTGCATTTATCAATCTGGAGCACGCACTCAAGAGAGACACTGTTTAAAATGCTTTCAGAGGTACACTCCGCCACTGCCTGCATCCACAAATAGCCTTTTTGCTGTTACAATAAGCAAGAAGAGAAGCGCGTCTGCCTGGGACAGCTCTGAATGGAAGTTTTGCTAACAACTGTTAGCAACTTTTCTTAAGAAGTATTTAGAAACTTCTAAAAAGCCAACTCTCGGTGCTTCATCAGCTACAGCCCAGAGAAATACCTACTGGAATCTATCTCTATGTTTTGTAGGATTCTGAGCAATTTTACTCATCTGCTCACACAGGGGGGAAAAAAAACAACATTCAAGAACCTGACCAGTGTTCAAATACTCACAGAACACCATGCTCAGGAGATTTTTTTTCTTGTGTTTTGCTATCCCAATCCAAAAAACTATATGCATGCCAAAGCAGTCCACAGAAGTATTATCAACTTCAACGCTGTGGTGGGTAACTGAAAAGTCACTTCCTGGCTTCCTTTGCGACTGCATCACACTGTCAATATTTTTTAAAAACAATTACTATGCAACAATCTCTTTGGACTTCAAAAAAAAAAAAAGGCGGCAAAAAAGCTGGTACTTGATGTTTTGTTTTCTTAAATAAATGGCAATAGAGTGACTTTTTATTTAAACTTGTGGTCTAATTCTCCCCTGCTATATTAAAAATTGAGATAGGCGCTGTTTTCCTTTCTTCCAGTCCACTGAATTCTTCCCTGTTCTTGTAAAAACTCTAAACATTATTATCTTGGACTACTACAGAAGCACAGAATTTATTTTTTTAAATCCTGCCTCTGTAAGTAGATCAAAAACTTACTTGAATCACACTTTAGTTTTACCAGACTTTTTTTCCAAGTAAAATAGTAGCAGAAAGGCTGTCAAATAACTCGTATATACACTGTGTTCATGGCTTTTGCCTTCCCCTGGTTTCCTCTGATCTACTTTAACAAGGGACAAAAGTTTCTAAACTGAATGCATTTCGCATTCATCTTCCCAATTTAAAGCAAAACAAGGAAAACACCCTTCCTATACGTTTACTTTACATTCATCCTTGTTTCTTTTCTCCCAAAATTAAGCACTCGTCCATCCCCCCCAGCTCTCAGTACAGCTGTAATGCTTTTTATATTTCATCAGAACAGTTTGCCACTGAACCTTACAAAGCCGTGGCTCAGAAGCTGCTGTAACTCAAGCCATTCCCTGTCTCAGGTAACATGCCCTAAAGACTACTCACAGAACTGAGGAAATGGCAGGAGGTGCAAATTCTGCCTCTTTTGCCCTCTTTTTTTCCTCCTTGGAGCACTGTGTTGATACTTCACTTTTACCCTCCACCTTTGGTTCTTGATATTTTTTATCCCTGTTAAAGCAAATCTAAGGTAAGTTGCTTCAGTTCCTTCTCAAGCAGAAAAACCTTCTGCCACGCTCCAAGAAACTGGTAGACTGTGTCCCTCCGTGTTCTTTTTGCAACAGACAGGACACTAAAATCAAACACTGACAAAGGCTATTCTGTGAATATTTCATATCTTCATCCAAATTCCATGGGTTTTTAGCTACTGAATAGTTAGTCAACAGCAGACTTTTATCATGACGCCACTCCTGTGCTGTTCCTCTGCTGCCCCACCTAGCAACAGACAGTAAAACTTTCCTTTCTTCCTCAGCATCACTGCACTCCTACGTTGATATGCAACATTAGCACTTTCTCTGTTGCCACAACTATCCTTACAGAAAGCTGTACCTTCTACACGTTGCAGTCTTATAATCTGTCCTGCACAAAGATCTTGACATCAGCAGTCACATAATCTTAGTTACGTAAGAGGACCTCAAATTTCCTCCTGTTGCCAAAACTCCTGAAATACAGGCACATTTCAAAACATCCCCTTATTCTTTCTCCTATCACAGTTCTTTCATAGGTTTCCTGTTTCTCCTCAGACCGGTTATTAGCTTACCTGCGGGCTTTTATCAACAGTACATGCTGAGTCTTACCTTATTCTGGTTTGGTGGGGACTTCAAAAACCGCAGCACCACACAGCGCTAAAGAAAGATAGGAAAGAATATGGTTTCATTAGCATTTAAGTACATTATAATTCCTGAACAGCAAAATTGTTTGATTCCCCAATTTACCTCATCTGACAAATTAAGGGGAAAAAAAGGCAAAATAGGCATTTTAGATGATTATTTCACTCAACTTGAAATCAAATACATCAATGTCTGTTCCCAGATTTGCCATCACTTTAACAAGGCAGCCACTCTGCGTGTCCAGTCACCAAGTTAACAGGTGAAATACTCCCTAGCTTATAGCACTGCTCTGAAAATCTCGTAAAACACAGTATCAAACAAACAGAAAAACACCCTATCATTTTTGCCCCAAAGGTCTTTGGGGGAAAAAAAAAAAATGTAAGACCCACTTAGATATTATCTGCTTACAGTATCAGCACAGCATTAAAAAATATTAAGGAGACACTTAGCAGTTACGAGCAGTAGCTACACAGCTCTACTTATAAACACTAAAAACCTACTACTTCTAAACTTCCAAAAAGTAAACATATAACATGGGGACAAATGCAGCAGGTTTCCAAACATATAACCTTAAAAAAAAACCAACAACAAACACTAATTTTTGTCATTTTTACAATTACTATCATATTTTCAAAGTGCACAAATTCTAAAAACATCCTCAGCCTTTATTTTTAAGAGTTCGGATAAAAATATTTTGTAGATGTCCTAAGTAAATTAGGCCTTTCTCCTTAAGCCTATTAAGACAGTGTCTTCCATCACAGAAGTCACCTGAAGTATCTTTCTCTCAATAAAATCTTGCTGAAATTAACCATTACACTTGGTAAACAGACTTTTTATATTAAAATCAAATTTTGACACAGTATTAAGGAAGCTGCAACCTTACTAGGCAAGGCAGCTCATAGCCCTGCCTCCAGTTAGTCAGTAAATATCTGATCCTCAAGATATTTACTCCCACTGATGTACTTCAGGCTATTCAGATAAAATGTGGATAAAAGCAACTGGGCACCACAGTAGGTAGAGGCAAACAGCTGTTTTCTGGAGTTACCTCTTAGCCACTCAGTGTCTCCATTTGGATCTTTCCTAGACACACCAAAGGATTACATTCTATTTAAAGCCTTACCAAAAAAGTACTAACACTCAGATTCTCTGACAAAGGTAATGCAGACAAAATGTCATAGTTACACTTTGGGTTTATGGAATCTAATTTTTCCCTACCGAATGACTTGCCATTAAAAAGCCTACTATAGCACAACAGCACCAGATATATTCCATATTTCAGGGCTGAAAGCTGTCTCTGGACAGTGCTGAGTGGGAGAGAGCAGCAGTTTTATTACCAACATGTAGAGAAAGAACAGGAGGAGAAAAGCAGAACAGATGACAATGTGTAATCCAAAATACTAACAAAACAAGATTCAGATTCAGACATTGCTAGTGACACGCAGAAACAGCCCCTTCAATATCTAAAAAGTCTCAAACCAGCATAGACCTTGTAGTTCACTCACATCTGGAAAACACTCTCAGGTAAAAGGATACTTTGCTGAATTCTGATTCAACTTTTCCTGCAAGATCTAAACAGCATAAGTGTCACAAAAACTAGATAAACTGAACACTAGTTACAATCACCTGGATTTGACAAGATTGCTGGGTGTCACTTAACTTATTTTCTCTCATTAAGACATACACATAGATAACAGAGCTCAGGTCTGATGAGCCTGTACGCTCTGTGTATGCAGTATGTTATTTTTAGTGTTTCAACTGTTTGGATGCCCCGCTTTAAATATTCATAAGCAAGTGGATCAGTGATGGAGTCATCTGATCACCACTTCTGATCAATTCAGAAACTTGATCCTGTAGTATTTCAAGGGTGTTGCAGACATTTATCTATTAATCAGTTCCCAGCCAACAAGCTTCCAACCACTGCTTTGGAAAATCTGATTGCTCTCACAGGACTCACTACAGTATTTGTTCCCTACCAAATCATTTCTGAAGAGGCATGCTAGGATAAAATGACCAAAACTATATATGGCAAAAGAACACCACACTGCTTGTCTAAAGAGGTCAGAAGGAAACAGAGCAAAGTTCAAACATAACTTTTCTGCCACAGATGCATTTCAACCAGTTGGCCTGCACTGTGCCTTAGTAAGGTTATTAGATGATTGGAGTAAAAAAAACAAAAAAAAACCATCCAACACTTTTCTTTTTTGGGGGAAGGTTTTCAGCTAGCTCCATCCCTTTGTATAATTCAATACACAGTTACACAAATACACTGCCACAGTACAAAGGTTAACCCATCAGATGTCAAAGATGCCAACTGTTTCAGAATTATTACTGCTGAAAATATTGGCCCACATTTTTCATGTTATTGCATTACTGATTCACCTGACTGATCCTTTACTTGGAAATGCTGTGGGTGGTTGTTGCCACAAGGGTTTTTGTCAGTTATCTTAAACGCCTCAGATTTTTTTGTATTTACAGATTGAACAAAGATGTAACATGCTTATCTGCATGCAAAAGAATGGCCCTAATCCAGAAAAGAACAGATTTCTTAAGAGGTTGTCACTACTCCTTAGCACTTTGAGAATCAGATCAACTAGATCCTAATGCTCCCTAAATTTCATTCTCTACATACACCTCTGTAAGCCCTTCCACTGCTTAACAACACTTCCATCAATGCACTATTACCATCAAAGTGTTTAGTTAATTGGATAATAGTCCCATACAGCCAAAAAGATGAAAAAAACAGGCTGTAAAATCAAGCAGAGAAAAAAAGAAACAATGCATGGACGTAGGCAAATGAAACACATGAAACATTAAGAGGCTTCACATCTTTGTAAGAAGCAAGACAAACTAGGAAAATACTGAATTCAAAGGAAGAATTCTGTCTATTTTTTTTTTAAATCCTGCAACCCTTTCTCTGCAAGTATGTTCAGCATCTAGTTAGTCACAAATGACTAAAAAAAAAAGCCATCACAATATCAAACATGACTGCTCTTACTCTTCAAGTAAAGAATTTAAGTGCAACTCTCACATGAGAGCACAGCAGTTTGATAACAGATAACAAACAACGTTCTTATTGGCATCCAGGACCATACTAGGGCTACAATAAAAACCATTACCAATTGTTACAGAAAACTCAAACGACAGCAACAAGGATACCAAAACTTGTGTGTGTCTCAGTCGCTCGACTGCCAAGATGATGTAATCAGGAGCACTGATGTTCTGGACGTTCTGATGAGCAGGATGTTCTGGAGGAGCGCCGTCTCAAGCCACAGCATTTTGAGACTCCAGCCTTAAGCTTACAGTCCCACCAGGAAAGGCAAACACTTCTTTAACACCCTACCATGAAACAATTGTTTGGGTTAAATCATAACTGAAAAGTTAATGTTGCCAATAGGGAGACAAGAAGCTGTGGGAGAGTCTGCAAAAATACACTCAAAGAAGTCACTGGCATCACAGAAACACAGGGATGCGTACACACAACTCTTCTCCTAATGTACCTTGGGAAAAAATAGTTTGCTGGTCTTAGTCCCCAAGAAGGTTATCTGCAAGAATTTTTCTTCTCCAAAGCAGTTACTATAGCTATTATTTTAATCTTTCTTAGTGAAATCCAAAATCAAAGTAGTTCGGCCAAAATATGACTGGCATCAATCCACGTACTTTGGATTAGACAGTAGCATTACGAAACCAGGATAAGCACTTCCATTTATTTCTTTACAGCTTGATGTTTGATATTGGCCTTATATTTTCCCAAAATGTCTTCTAAACTTCAGTGTCATAAGATACTACCATGTAGGCCTCCTGAACTGGAGAGTTTTCGCAAGCTGAACGCAACTGGGGCAAATCTATAATCTTGATATTCCCCTTCAGAGAAAAACCTTGTTTGCATCACTGAGGTTTTTTCAAGTTTCCGTCTCTTGCTACATTAATAACAAAATCTGTATAAGAGCTGGTGCCAGTGAAAGAAATAGGAAAATTTCTATATAAACAAGCTCAAATGCTAGTAAAATTGTTTAGAAGTACAGAAAGACATGTATCCTTCTGCTGTTACCACCTCAGCTCACATGGTTTTAAAATAAGCTTCCGTACGAAAATATGAAGAATTAGCCTGTCCAAACACAAAGCCTGGGAAACATCATTTCAGCTTCTGCTTTTCCAAATAAGCAGGTTCACGTCATTTGTTATTACTCTATTATTATTCTAAACAGCATGCATTAACTGTTTTTGTCTAGAGGCAAAGCGTTACTCTAACATCTAGTTCTGCAACTGCCCAGTATAACTAGAAAAGATTCTTACGTAGTTGATTACCAACTTGTGTTCACATATGCAAGATCTACTGGTAGAAACCAAGGCACTTTGGGAAGCAACTTTTTAAGTCCCAAAAGGAAATCCACCCCTCTTCCCACACCCATCATCTCCTTACTCCACATGGTCTCATAAATTGTGGTATCTAAAAACTCACCAGTATTTTTGTAAGCACTACACACAATTTTACATCACAAAGTTACCTACCCGTCCACCATACTCTCTTGTCAATATATTTATTTTGAAAAGGCATGTGATATACAAGCAGAACAAGAAAACCCACGTTTGTTTTAAAGTTGTGCATATAAAAGTCACGAGCTTCCAATCGTAAACAACACTCTCAAAGACTGGTAACAAAACTTTCCCTACAATTATTACTATACTATTTTGTTGCAACCAATTAACCACACCACCACCAACTACTACTCAAGGAGGTAAAGATAAGAAGTTGACTATTTTTAGAGAGAAAAAAGTGCCTGTAAAGGCTCTTGAATTTCTTTATACAGTAAAAACTAGTTAATTCATTGTCTTTTGCTGAACTTAAAGAGCTATCAAGATCTTACCGAACACAGCTCTTAAGTATGCCAAACTTTCTACCACCATTGTAGTTACTCAACACAATCAAATCATCATGGATTTACAACAATGAACAGGAAGGACACCTACAAAAAGTGCATTCTATCTGAATTTCAGTCAAAGAGAGGGAGACAGGT